GCCTCCATCTTCTCCCACCATCCTCTACCTACTCCCTCTTCTACCCTCTCCCTCTCCTCTACCGCCTCCATCTTCTCCCACCATCCTCTACCTACTCCCTCTTCTACCCTCTCCCTCTCCTCTACCGCCTCCATCTTCTCCCACCATCCTCTACCTACTCCCTCTTCTACCCTCTCCCTCTCCTCTACCGCCTCCACCTTCTCCCACTATCCTCGACCTCCTCCCTCTTCTACCTTCTCCCCCTCCACTACCTCCCCCTCCTCCCCCACCACCTTCTACCCTCCTCCTCGACCACCTTCTACCCTCCTCCTCCTCGACCTCCTTCCTGTACCCCTTTTCTACCTCCTCCCCTTCTCCCCCTCCTCCTCCACTACCTTTTCCCTCGTCCTTGAGCTACCTCTTCTATCTCCCCTCCTCCTTCCCCACTACCTTCTCCCTCGTCCTCTACCTTCTCTCCTTCCTCCTGTACCACCTTCTCCCCTCCTCATATACCTCGTCCCTCTTCCTCTATTTTCTCCCTTGCTCATACATATTAACTGCCTAATATTGGCACTCCTTGGCCTTTCAACATGTATAAAATATAAAATATAAAAAAAATATTATACTATGATAGAGCTCAGTGGTCAAGGCTATCAGTTAACTTTGCTTGCGTGTGCACTGCGAATTTACCGCGGTGCGAATAATAACACATTTTCTGTTATCCGCACCGCCGCGGTGCGAATAACCACTACGTTATTTTTTGTATTATGTAGATCCCTCCTGCACGCACCGCATCGAACCATGCGACTCTGAATCGCATTATTCGATCCGTGAATCGAAGCATTCGATCCGTGAATCGAAGCATTCGATTCGTGAATCGATGCATTCGATCCGTGAATCGAAGCATTCGATCCGTGAATAGCATTATTCGATCCATGAATCACATTATTCGATCAGTGAATCGAAGCATTCGATCCGTGAATCGAATCATTCGATCCGTGAATCGAATCATTCGATCCGTTGTTTTGTATGCAATTTATGTCCAGAACTAAACTCTTCAAGAATCCACTAATTGAAGGTCCAGGAACAATATTTGGCTGGTAACACATTTCCCACTGACGGCGAAATAGCATTTTGGGCCACGCCCTTTTCGAGCGAAGTATACTACCATCCACCGTGACTGTATCTACAGAACCGTTGGACCTAGGAGGTTGCCCGACCACTCAAAATGTGCGCAATGGCCACATTATGGGGGGTCAGTAATACGATTTCAGCATGTTACGCACTACAATTAATAATTATTCGTAATTGTTCCTGTTCCTATTGTTCAATTACTTGATTCCTGAAGAGTCCAGAGAGACATATGATACAAGATTGCGTGGCACAGCTTTGCTGTTGATCCTAAGTGCTGCGCGTGGATGAGACGCGCAGTTCTGCGGAATATGCGCACGCGACAGCGGGGATGTTCAAGTATGAAGCGCTGTCGGCCTTTATTCTTCGCGTTTGGCCGGACAAACTATAGCAGATGGGGTACGCTGTTCCTTGAAGATTGCCTGGACATACAAAGGAAGTTCCCACGTATCTACAGATGCTTTACAGATGAACCCTATGAAAAACCGATTTCAGCATGTTACGCACTACAATTATTCGTAATTGTTCCTGTTATTTGGATTTCAACACTTTTTGCATTTACTACAGCCACAAAACGTCACATTTTATGTTCCTTTCTCTGCAAGTGCACGTTTTGGTGCTCATACATGATGTTGGGCATTACTTTGCATGGAGGGGGCAGGTCATCGGGCCTGCACGATACTGGCAGTATCACTGGTGTTATGCCAACATCCGTTCCTTCATATCCATACTGGAGTGGATCTGGTTTGGTGGCTGCAGGAGTTGGGGCTTGCAACTACATCTTACACTGCAGATATGCTCGCTTTATGTGTTCTAGCTCGTAGCGTTGATGAACAGCACACAAGCTGGTTGAAGTCCAGTTCTTTCTTGGGTTGAGTTGTGCTACTGCTCCCATCGATATTCATCGAAAGTGGAACAGTCTGTCTTCTTTAATCCAGACACAAGAAACTTTTCAGCATTGCTTGTTATCTGTGATAAGTTCTTCTACACCAAAACCTTCCAGTAGGGAGAGATCCATGGATGCTTTCAGGCCAGACAGCTTTGGACCCACCTTGCTGGTACTGTCGCAACCGCTGATAGCATGAATAGCTGGGAGACACGACACCAAACCGTTGTCCAGTTGATCAACCAACAGGTGGACTGGTACAGTTTTCTTTGTTTTCCGGTTACCAAGCTTCACGTACAGCTTTTGTAGTTGTCAGGTTTTGTTGAAGTGGAAGATGAGGTTGACAAAGACATGTGTCAGGTGAGTCAACCGAGACTGATTGAACCCCGTGTTTCACAGCACCATCATTAATATGGAACATGATTATGTCGTCGGCTTCTTCTTGGTTGCTTGAGAGCTCTGCGATCTGTGTTTCAGTGCCAGCTAACAATTCCCTGCATTCACCCCCATAATGATCTCCAAAGAAGATCTTCATGTCCGACTCGACATTCTGCAGCATCCACTTGAAGACATACTCCTGGAGTCCTGCAACCGAACTTTGTTCAACATTGAGCTCCAGAACATATCAAGATCGACAGGGAGTTTCTGATTGTCAGACCTAATGGTAATAGTGATTTGTTCTGAAGAACTTCTCTGTGCCCGTTCCATTTGCTTGATTGATGATTTTTGATAAACACAGGGCATCAAGTGACAAGTGACGCTCAAAAAATAGGAAAATAGGAATTTCAGATGTGAAAAAATAGGAGGAAAATAGGAATTTTGGTGAGAAAATATATGTTAAATAGGAATATTTTTTGCGGTTAATAGATGGCCTCCCAACACCCCTACAGCCATCCCTATCCACCACAAATGGGTTTATTAATATACATATTTGGAGTTACATCACATGCGAACAATATTTTGAGGTTTTAATGAGAAATGCATGTTAAAATTGATAAGCAATTTAATTTTAATTTAAAGTACATAGGTAGTTGCATATGCATGTACTCCCTTTAATTATGTTTACAAATTTTTGACGTACAACAATACAAATGTACATGACGTACAAATGTATAACATACCACATCCAACTGAGAAACAACTTTACTGAAATAAAATCTGTGATAGTAAAGAGTATATTACGTTAATTTAAAGTAAGGGGTGGGGGTCTGTGTACGCGACACACCTTCTCCCCAAGATGTGAAAGTATACCAAGTTTGATCGCGCTAGGTCAATTAGGGGCCTAGTTGTAGAGCAGAAGGGAAATATGATCAAGGTCAAGGTCAAATAAAAGTCGCAGTGACCTGGTTTTGGTATGCGACACACCTTCTTCCCAAGATGTGTAAGTGTACCAAGTTTGGTCACGCTAGGTAAATTAAGGGCCTAGTTATAGAGCAGAAGGGAAATATGATCAAGGTCAAGGTCAAATAAAAGTTGCAGTGACCTGGTTTTGGTATGCGACACACCTTCTCCCCAAGATGTGTATGTATACCAAGTTTGGTCACGCTAGGGCAATTAGGGGCCTATAGTTATAGAGCGGAAGGGAAAGTGTCTGCGGCAGTGGCGGCGAGCGGCGGCTGGACAGACATGAAACCATAGTATCCCCGCCGACATCGTCTCGGGGGATACGTACAATTAAAAATCCATTCCAACAAAAATCAAAACCATCCTCATATAACACAGGTCATGTTATTTGGTATCGAGGCAATTTTCTATATAGCTGCAAGACGTAAAATACCCATTTCATGACCAGACTGACAAATATATTTCATGTTGCCAAACTTGAGTGAAGACATAACCCCACCCCGATTTATTCCAGGAACATTAATTTCAGGTGTTCATGGAGGTGCAGCCTCAAGATTTTAGAGGTCTATGGTTTCAGTGACCCATAGCTCTAGGGTTATAATGAGTTAAAGGATAAGTGACGAGCTTTTAAACCTCAAAATAACGCAATCACACTTAAATATATCATAGATATATTTATATTTTTCAAGTATGTCAAAAAATCCATCAAAATAAGCACGCAGTAATGTTGCTACACCGGTTTATACATTCGAAATCACCGCGCTGCAATAAGAAATGCCTGAGTGCTGACATCACGCGATTACTCGTGCTTGACGTAGATTCAGCCGTGTGCAGCCGCTGGAGCTAGGCGGTCCATTGTAAAGTGTGTGTTTGGGATGGGGAACCGAGTATATACATTTTGACAAGCTAGGCCACAGTTCTCATGAAAATATTGAGCCGTATCAATTTTAACTGCTTGCAAAGGAGGAAAATAGGGATTTAAATGAATTTTTACTAGCATTTTTTACTTTTCATGTCGGAACTTTACCGCAATTATTATGTGACACTGTTTTTTCTATGTATCTCTCGTTTTTAATACAGTACGTGATAATAATATCAGGTTATACTGCATATATCGTCAGTTTCACACATGACTGCATGTATGAGCTGCTGAATGTTCAGCGTTGAATAGGCAAACTTCATAATTCCTATGATTTATTTCGGTTAACACACTCTTCCGTGTGCGTGTTGATTCCGTGTTCAAGGGGCGAACTTTGTTGACGTCTTTACTGTTGCTGTCTTCATATCCTATGTAGTATCACCAAATATAGTACCAATAAATTTAACTAATCACAAGTAACTATGAGGAAGGTATCTGGGATTGTATTGGCAATGCACTCGTTACACACTGTTTCATGTATTATAATTGAGTCAATAACATTCACAAATACCAACAAATTGCAATGTGCCGGCACAGTCACACCTATTCTTACGTTCACCAATTGTAATGTACAACCAACCCTTGATGCAGGATAGCTTTGTAGCTCGGCCAGTACTAAGTGTTATTTCGTGGTATAAACCCAGAACACAATCTCTCTCTCTCTCTCTCTCTCTCTCTCATCTCTCTCTCTCAGTCTCTCTCCAAGCTCTCTCTCTCATCTCCTTCCTCTCTCTCTCTCTCTCTCTCTCTCCCTCTCGCTCTACCCCCCCTCTGTCGTAACTGCAAGCGTACTACAGGTTTTGTACGTGCATTATATGCTAGCACACTGCGACACGCAGCGAGGCACTGATGACCTAGCCTGTTAACCCGCTGTAGGAATCGCACACTGTCGATACTGGTGGCAAATAACTATAGGATTATAAGGCAGGTATAACCACCCGAATATATTCGCAATACACAACAGTAACATAAGTTCAGTCATACAAACATCTTGTATGCTAAAGCACTATGCTATTAACACCCATTTTGACTTGTAAGAATAGTGTGCCACCCAGTATTTACACGATGCGAAACTCTTTATACCACGAGAGCAGAATACCTATTGCTTAGTTCATATCAACACAGCTAGGCGAGACAGAGCCACTGAATGTACGTCACGCACGTCATCGTGACGTCACCGCTCACTAGCCAAGCATTTTCAGGGTGTTTTGCGGACTTACTTTTCTGCGATTTGTGCTTTACTGATAATGTTTAGACTTAATCAACTTATTACTCTAGGTACCGACTAGATTATTGTATGTGAACAATTAATTTTAGTTACTTTAGCTAAAAAGCTCGACACTAATCCTTTAATAAGGTATAGAGGGACGTATGTATCTGTATGCACCTCAGCGAGCGCACTTACCGTGGTCATATCTACGAATGCTTCACTCGCATGAAGGATGAGCCCCTCCTGTTCACTGAGAATGTACACGCTTTGTATGCCATTCTCCATCTGTTCCCCGGGCTGCATGAAGAACGACTTATCGCCCTGCAAAATCAAACCCACTCATGAGGTTATCTGTGGCACCAAGGCAACACTCTCCAGCCTACATCACTGAGCATTAAATGTAATGCAATTATTAATGGAGCCTTGTTCATGTAAACAATGTTCCAAGCAACTTCAAGTAATGTGACTGAATGGGATTAAACCTTCAACTGACCTTGATAACTTTTTTCTTTCCTAGCTGCGGTTTTCCATCGTCCCCGATTGGATCCAAAATGACACAATACTGGCGGTTGGTCAGTGTTGTGATGTTAATCACACCAACCACCTGATTGAGAATAAATCATTAGCATATGTGGGCATATAAGTGATACTGGTGTAAAGAAGTTCAATAAAGAACTATATTATATGCACGCAAACTGTGACACGTGTGTTTGGACAATTGAAGTCAAATTTTATAACTTCTGTAACGTTTTTATACATATAAATACATTCAATAACGTATTCCATTTCAAATCCGGCGCCCGCAGTTCAAATCCGCAGTAAGAAACACATGAATATTAGTCTAGGTCATGTGACGTCACAGCCCCCTGTTGAAACACGCCATTATATAAACATAGTGCGTGTGGTGTTAAGATGGAGACAGAAAGCGATAATTTCAATGATTCCAGTGATTACTCAGACGATGATGATATTTATAGTGATTTACCAGTTGGATATAGGTTTGAGCCTGAATATACACAAGAAGAAATGGAGGAGAATCGTCTGAAAAAGCAACGCGAAGAGTCGGCACACACTTCTCGAGAATCAGAACAGTCACAATTCATGGCGGAATGGAAGCTTCGGTACCAGATAGGACTGTAGACAAATACTGGTGTTCTTGTAGTGTTTGTGAATTAATGAGTACGGCACCTGAATGTATACGCTGCCATGAGAATTAGAAGACCAGGGTTATTGTAGGTATTGTACCAGTTCGACGCTAGACCAGGTGAGGCATGCGAGTACACTGATCACCGGGCTTATCACGCTCGGTCAGAATCACATGTATCTGTACATGTACAAACATCTCTACGCAAGTCATGTACATATACCGTGAATGCATTATCCACACATGTAATATGTATGTACATGAATATAAGTACATTTACAGGCTACATGTTTGTTGTATGCTGTAACAATACTTTCACCTAGCATAACATATACTAGCGTGTTAGCACTGTTACGCTATATAATGGCGTGTTTCAACATGGGGCTGTGACTTCACATGACCTAGATTAATATTCATGTGTTTCTTACTAATTGGGCGCCGGATTTGAAATGGAATACGTTATTGAATGTATTTCTATGTATAAAAACGTTACAGAAGTTATAAAATTTGACTTCAATTGTCCTTTAAGCTAGCTCTCGCTTTGCAAAAGTGTGATTTACGCGTTGGATGGATATATGATGAAATGACGCGATCAGACCAATGTACACCTTTTTTAACTTGGGCCTAAGCTTATATTTGGAGGAAGACTATTGTCGACAAGCAAGCA